CTAGTGCTGCGCGCGCGGCAGACCGATCATAGTTGAGTGGGAGAGAGACGCAAGGCATTCGGCGGGCCTCTCTCTCGTTCGGTGACTCATCGTAACGTTACCGAGCGTTACACTTTTTCATAAGTGACTCCCAGCCGCAACCTAATTTAAGACGTTGTCACGTCAAAAACGGGGCTCTTACTGAGCTAGCTTTAGAGCTACTCCTCACTATAATACCGAACACAGTTCGTCTTACATCAGAGTGCTTAGTGCAAGTTTATTTAACAATGCGCACTAGGCCCTCAGGTTTCGGTCCGGTGACCAGTGTACAGTATTCATTGTTTCTCGTATAAAAATACTTCACCTGCCCCGGACCGGATTGAAAACAGATCCCGTTTGGCACTTTAATGTAAAGCGGCTCTAGATCTAATAGGTCAATAAAATGCATTAAAAATGACATATTATAAATGAACTTGAAATGTATACAATGTAGGTACTCACGTTGATGTCTGCCGGCCAGTAAGCACTCGAGCGTGCCAGGCCCCGCGTTGCTAGTGTCGAGCACCAGTTTAGAAGGAGCCCTCACTCGTCCTGAGTTGTCCGCGCCCCATCCTCCCACTGGCACGATCGCTGATGTGTCTATCACCTGTTCATACAAGTAAACAAATGTTTATATTTCCTTTTTTTCAAAAGCAAAAATGTTAAGATTTTTTTCGTAAGATTAGCTTGTATTTTACAATAACTGGGCAGTAACCTAAGTTTATTGTTCAAAATCAAATAATAATATGTATTGACTAGCAAAGATAAATTAATATAAATAATAATTAATACTCACTTTGACAGAGAAGGGGCTGCCAGGCAGAGGTCCAGTGGCGGTGAATATTCGGACCTCGTACAGTCCCACGACGAGTGGTATGTAAGCACACAACCACTCCTTAGCCGCGCCGGCCACCACGCGACACTCTAGCAGACCTGTGTCCGTGTCGTCTTCTTTCTCTTCTGATGTTAGTCTTTCCACCTGCAAGTAAGAAGTAACAGATATTGTTTCTTAAAGTAGAACTTTATTATGAGTGTGTCCATACATAGAAATTTACATGCACATCTTATTCGGTCTTTAACTGCCAATAGAAAACTGTTCGGTAAAAAAGGCAAATCCTTCGCTAAAGTCGGTCATCGGTGACCAACGCTGCGATTAACATATTAAGACACAGTGCAAACGTGGATAGTTTGAGTCAGATACAAGTTATCGACGAATATTTAGTTTCTGTAGAAGTAGTATGAAATTATGTAGTCCTTGTGCATACGTGTTCAGTTGCTTCCTCTTAACACGTACTCAATATCAATTCAAAGTGTTCGGGGTCGATGATTAGAAACAAAATGTTAACGTTGGATCAGCGCCTAAATCGTTATGCAGTTAACGGATGTCTAGTCACCGCGCTGTTATATTATTATGTATGTATTTGTATGGTAACGTTTTCGAAGGACATTCCGGGTGTCGGGGATCACGGGACGATCTAAGGCTACCGTAAGCGCGGGCCTGTGGACTGCGAGCATGGGTAGCTCGCCGCGATCAAAACCAGACCCGAGCCTTTCGCGCGCACCCCAAAGAGATCAGACCATCACGGAGGAAGCCCAATACGGCTGATGCCGATATGGAGCCGCGGAGGACTTTACGGGTTGCCGTGGCTCCGGCTCGAAGTGCAGGAGTAGGAACAGGGTGGTTTTTAGTTAGTCAGTGTCTGGCCTACCTCCTGCCTCACCCAGGCTGGAGAAGTCATTCGATGATTTTCCGCCCTTAAAAAAAAGGGTAGCGTTTAAAAGACTCGAAATTTGCTTAAGTAAGTTGTAAGTAAGTACCTGCACGGTGGGCGGCGCGTCCTCTGCGCATGCGATGGTGAAGGCGGCCTCCTTGCCGACGTGTGCGTGCGCCAGGCCGGTGCCGGCGCAGCGCGCGCCCGCACTACTGCGCGCGCTCAGCACGCCCAGCGACACTGGACTGCCCGACACATTCGCGCCTGTAACGTGGACATGTGTGTAATTGTTGAAATAATAAAAACTTATTTTCAATATGATTTTTTTTGTACCCATTTTTCCCCTTTAAACCTCATTTACGGAGAGGTCTGTCGTACATTGCTGCATTGGGCAGCCTCGTTTCTCGCGTAATCATAAACATAATGAGCTTTATACAACGGACCACTTCAAACACTGTGCAATGCGCCGCGATTCCGTAAACGAGGTCTAACTTTGATTTAGTTTTCCGTAAAAACTACAAGAGTATGAACATGCGACGATAAATTCAAAAAATTGTAGTAACGAGTATTTTCGCAAAAATCCTGACTTTGTCCAGTAAGATTTGATAATTTTTCGCCTATGTCTAATTATCCGCGTTTTCGCAAAACTCCTAGGATTTCCGCGAAGATTCGAAGTATCAAATTATCCTACGACACATACATAATATGTTGTACATACGATGTTATGTATGAAACAACAAATAGAGGTACATATTAATGAAAATCAATGTTCGTTAAGAAATTATTTTTATAAATTATATAACGGCACCCTGATACTTTTTAAACATCTGGGGTTTTTTGATATTCCGATAAGAAGCAAAAGTATTTTATGGGTCCCGGTAGCATTAGCGCAAACTAATATTGTTACTCGCTCTTTCTTAGTTTTATACCCTGGAGCTGAATTCTCTCGCCTAGATACTAAAGATTTTGAAGGTAATGACTTCTAGTTTAATCAAAATCCAAGTCATAGTTTTGTCATTCAAATTTTTCTTAAAATCATCTTTAAAAGATTTTGCGTCATCTACATTAGCTGACATTTTTTCACCTTGTATTTCACGAATCCCACGACGAGATTTAAATCTGTACAGCCATCCGTTACTTGCCACAAACGATTCATCACCACCTAATTCTTTGTTTAACTGTAATGCTTTTTCACAGAGCAGAGGACCAGATATCGGTTGCCCAGTTGATCGTTTTTGTAAAAACCAACAATACAAAGCGTCTTCTAAAAGTATATTTTTCGGTTTCTTCATCATTTTCCGATGTTTACTCCCGCCTTCACAATGTAATTTGCAGGTGTACAACAAAATTGAATCTGTATTCTTCTTAATATCACTAATCGTGGATGTACCTATACCATACTGATCAGCTAATTTACGACCGGTTTCTCCATTTTTTAATGAATCAATAATATTTATTTTTTCTTTAAGCGATAACACCACTCTCTTACGTTTCGACATTTTTAAATATGTAGACGTGATACAAGTGAGATCGGAGGAACAACAGCTAGCTAGCTAAAACAGTAACGAATCGCGCGGGGCAGCGATCGCGCAGGGCGCGTGCGGGGTAGTGACAGTTCCGACACGTTCATGCTTGTATTTTGACTTGTAGGTAATATTAATATAATTAGTCGGTAGTCCGGATAATCGCGAATCCGTATAAGTGAGAGCCGGATAATCGAGTTTCTACTAGACAACGTAAAAATCGATAGTTTAGTTTATCATAAGATAGAGGATTACTACATTGTCGTTGAATGAAATGAGAGAGAATGAAAACCTTATTACGATCTTAGTTGAAACTATCAATAACGCTTGAACTCCTTACGTATTTAACTTCTAAACTTATAAATAAATTAAATGAAATCCAGTATTTATTAACCTCCATAAGTGATATAGATCCTATAGTGCGCCGGCATGGTAGGTCTGAGTCGCACCCTGTACGTGTGTCCGTCCTCCCGTATATCGACCGGCAGTCGAATGCGTCGCTCGCCCATCGCTTCACATATCACTTCCAGCTCCGCTACACCAGCGTCTTTTGTGTCAACTGCAATGAAAAGTCTAAGTTTAAGATATAAAAAGTCTAAGTTTAAGATATAGTTTAATAATGTTATTTTTAGATAGGTACAGACTTAGCTACAGACCTTGTATTCCGAAATATTTAAGCATTTAATGCAAGACCTAAAAGTAAATCCATTTATTGAGTTCCAAATTAAAAAATAGCACTTTACTCGACTTATGAAACCTTTTTATTACATATTTTGGATATTTATGAAAACCATAATTTAAAAAAGAATTGAATTGCGTACTATAATATAAGATCACAATAAAAGTACTTATGTATAAAATAATCACTATAATATTATAAAGAATAATTATGTTACCTGTGAAATTGATGGGTGTTTGTGCAATAAGATTCCCTGTGGGTAGTCCAGATATGATGACTCTGTTGGGATCAAATGATTCGCAGGTGAACGGACTGCCAGACACAGGTTTCGATAGGTGCAGCACCTCTGCAATTGTAAAAACAAACTAATATTAATAATAACACAATCGATACGTGTTGATATGTTGATGTAATAGGGCCAACTGAGGTGCACGGCACAGTTAGGGTCACAATCGAATAATTCAAAACATTAAATAATAATAATATGACATCATCCTAAATATTTTTTGTTTTACTTAACAGTGGTGAGGTCAACGGAACAATCATAATAAACATAAACAATTTCTATTTGAGAACATAATTATGGTCAATAGGACGCCTAATGACACGATTCAGGCATTCCTTTCTCGTTTCATTCGGCACGAGTGGGCCATCTGGACCGGAGTGATATACCGCGGCTTCACAGAAAACCGGTGTGAAGCAATTTGCGTTGTGTTTCGCCGTGTGAGTTAGTTAATCGGAGGTGTAATCTCCAACATTATCCTAAATTCCCAAATTCCTAATCCCTAAAAGGCAGTAAAAGCACTTGTAAACTCCTCTAGTGTTCATCATCATCATGAGCAGTCTAATAAATGCCCACTTCTCACATGGAGAAGGTTTGAGCATCAATCACCACGATTGCTCAATGCGGGTTGACGACAGACTCATAATTAAAAATTATAAGCTTAGGTTTTCTCACGATATTTTCTTTCACCGTTTGTCAGTGGTGTCTAGATAACCTTAGAAAGTACATATAGCTCGGAAAAAGTCACATTGGTAATTGCCGTTGGTAGGTTTTGAACCCGCACCCTCATGCATGAGAAGCGGGCCTAACGCGCGGGCCAACACGACACATTATTCGTCGATGTCTAGTGTTATGAGTGTCCAAAGGTGACGCCGATTGCTTACCATCAGGCGATCTATCTGGTCATTTTCCACTTTATTCCATAAAAAAATCATCAATCTCGTTTTGCATGCTCGTCCATTGAGGGTGCTTTTTATCTTGTACTATTATATAAAGCTGAAGAGTTTCTTTATTTGTTTGTTTGTTAACGCGCTAATCTCAGCAGGTATTACTGGTCCGATATTAAAATTTCTTTTTGGTTTGAATAGCCCATTTATTGAGGAAGTTTATAGGACATGAAACATCACGTTACGATCAATAGGCACCGAGCAGAGCGGGTGAAACTACGCGCAAGTAAAAGATAGCTATGAAAGTTTGCTCACCTATAGTACTCTGTCCGACATCAGTGATAGTGTATTCAGCTTGTAACAATCCGGACTTGGTCTGGTAACATCGGACGGGCAGTGCTCTAGACCCAGGCCCCGACACCACTACATCGAACTCCCGCGCCGGCCTGCCCAGGGTGTCGATACTGAACGAGGCGACCTTGTTCACTTGTGCCTGGTATAAACCGAGCCCGGATGCTGAGACCTGAAGCGAGTGGAGAGAGGAATGTCATGTAAAATAACCAACATCACATTTTGTCAAGGTAAACTTTGTTATAATAATATAGTTATTAAAAGAATATATATTATATCCGTAGATTATGTTACTGGTTCATATTAATATCTTTACATATTAAAACTTAAAAGTATTTCTATTTCAATTAAGACTTGATTATATGTAGGTATTCTACTATCAAGAAACAAATAAAACCGAGTTTTCAGTCAGACTAGCTCATTTGTATACGACATTGTTTTTTAGTTATTGTTTTGACGTTCGACTGCACTAATGATAACAACCACCACATACGCGCTTGTTTTACTTTTAAGGTAGTGGTACAAATGCTTATTTCAAGCCGAAAGCATGCTTCAATTGAGTACATGTTATTTAGTAGCACTTGTGTCGGGTCTTTGCTTAAAATTATCAAGCTAATATTTTCGAATCTGCTTGCTTTGAATCGACAGGCATTCGAACATGAGCATGCTCAATAGAACCTTACGCGTTTTACGAGCAAACGTCGAAGTTCATGCTTCAGAATAGATGTATCCGAGTCTACGGCGCGTGGCGTTCCGCGCGAGGCTTATAGAGCTATTAGACCAGAACCTCACCCAGGCGGGTGAAGTCATTCGATGATTTTCCCCCCTTAACCCCTGGTATGTCGGGGACGTACATATACGCGAGACACAATGCATTTTCTATTATATCTCACATGCAGATAAAAAAAATGGTACAGATGCACGTACCTCCTGTCCGTGGTGCGCGGGCAGCACGTCGAGCACGAGCGGCTGCAGCTGCAGCGGCGCGTGGCTCCAGTGCAGCGTGACGCGGTGCGGCGCGGCGCGCGCGGGGTGCCACACCAGCTCCTGGCGCGCGCCGCCGCGCCGCCGCACCGAGTGCGGCACGCCCGCGCCGCCGCACCACACGCGCCCCGACAGACGCCCGTTGCCCGCGCCCGCCGTGCTCACTGCCAGGCACAACTCAGAATTATACATTCACTATTCACACAACATACCACGTCTGTCATATCGTTTCACTCTTCGATTCAAAAATATGTTCATTTGAATCAAAGCCATCATTAGCCAGACAGCCCATCTAAATCAATGCACATAAAATTCACACTGAAAAGAGGACATAGCACACCTGATTAAAGCCGTATCGGCTGATTGTAGATAAAACAAAAATTTGAATCAAAGATATCGTACTGGTATCCTATATATATATATGTATGTATGTTCTACATATTTAGCGACATTAAATATCATCATTAAAATTAAGAGGTATCCGAGAGTGTGGTCTGTAATTTAAAAAAATTATAAAAATACTGAACACAATTTCAATTTTTTTCTTATTTCTTTCTTTATCATGCAGACCTGGCTAACTTCGGATCGCCTAAAATGTTTCTCTCATCTTTTAAACCCTCCCTGCACTTCCACGACCATTTCACGACCAGAATTTGACAAATCGGTTCAACCGTTCTCTAATTTTTGCGAGACTAAAAAACGGAACTTAATTTTTTTTTACATGGATTTTACGAAACAAGCACGGGTGCACATTCAATTGACACTTTTACTAATTCCGAATAATACTTCCGAATAATTCCCCACTTATTACTAATTCCGAATAATATGAAGTAAACTTGTTTCCACGTTAACAAACACAAACTCACCAGTTAGTATAGCAGGTCGATGAGCCACAGCATCTCCAATAGACAGTACTTTGACAGCAGACGGATCGAGGGCTTCTACATCAGCTATCGGTCCTCGTGAACTCCTCACCACATACCGACCCACACGACTAGCGGGGAACGTCAAGAGTCCTGTGTCTTCTAAGTGGGCCTCAGCTACCCGCGTCCCCGTTGGTGATATAACTTCTACGTCGGATATGGTCTCGTCTATTTCCACTGATGCTATACCGCCTGTGCACGAGAAAATTGTATTGAACTATGAACTTGGTATTCACAGAAAATAGTACGAAAAGTGCATTGTCATAGACATTTGCAAAGCAAACACTGAAATAAGTCAGTGAGCTAGATCTATAATGAAACTAATAATCTTTGTGAAACATGAATGTTTTGAACCTTTCATTAACTATTGAAATTAACTAAAAATCACGAGTTACTCTACTAGTTTCGAGTCACAGAGGGACTCTTACTCATGAGCGGCGTGCGCGGTAGCGGCGACGTCGCGCAGCCTACTACTAGAGCTTTTCTCAGTATATTTACGTGAGTAACTCTTGATTTTCAGTTAATTCAGTATGTCTCACGATAGTTACTGTGAAGACGATTGAAATATTCAAGTATAAGATGAAATACTTTGGCATAAGGTAGTAGGTACGTTTCATTGTAATTTTCACTGTTTGAATTTTATACGAAATTGTTTCGAGTAGTAAAGTAATTACTTACCAATTTGTACGTATGTATGTGGCTCGCTGACTCGACAGACGAAGGGGCTGCCGGGCACGGGCTGCTCGTTGAACGTGACGGAGACACGGTGCGGCTCGCGGGATACTGGTACGAATGTTACGTCGTACAGGCCACGGGCCACTGCTACCACCTACAAACATAATATGTACTTTAGATATTGTCAGAAGAGGAGTATAGTACAAAGTCATCAATCAGATTTGACTAATCAGAGTAGTTTCACGTATACTGACTGTACTTTGCATTTCGACTTCCGTCCGGAATTAGTAGTTATATTTTAATCCAAAATCTTTGTATCTCTTGAATTATACTGAATTATATTATCTTTCTCGGCTTACTCATGTAATTATTTGACGAGGAACTCGACTAGTTTCAAGCCATGCTAGAGGCTCATTTTCATGAACAGCATTCCGCGACCCGCGACGCAGCGACTGTCGCGCTGCTACCAGAGCGACAGTCGCCAGTAACTAGTGAATCTAGTCGAGCGCCTCGTCAAATAATTATTTAGTAAATAATTAATTTAGTATGTCTTACAAAAGTTATAATATAAATAATTGTACTTCTTTAAAAATTAAATATATGTATTTCATGATAGTGTATAAGGATAATCTTACCTCCGCCTTGACAGTCGTGGATGGTGTAGAGACGACGAGTTCGAGCGTCCCTTCCCCCGCGCCGGCCGCGTCCACACTGAACGTGACCGGCTTGCCAACTTCCACGCCGCGCTCCTCCTCTGCTACTTCATCTAGACTCAGCCCTTCTAGAGTACCCTCCAACTCTGTGTATAAAGTATTGAGATATTAACATTAAGATGTTATTGGAATACTAGTTTTTGACAGTGGAGTTTCTATGAGAACGGTAATGTTTTTTAGCTTAGAACTATTGCTTTGAACTAAACAGGGACACTTAACAGGTGAGTGGTTTTAAATACCGACATATCATTGATGTACTTAGTATTTCTACTAACAAATTTCATGCAATAATTATCCAAACACAAGAATATGAACATACCTCCAGGTCCTAAACCAGTAACCCTGACTCGTCGCACATCATAAACGTTGCAGGTGAAGGGTGAGCCCGGTACGTGTCGTCCTGCACAGGTGACCTGTACAGTGTGTCGGCCCACTGCCTCGGGCGTGTACGTGGCGGTGTAACGACCCTCGCCCGACGGAGACACGCGCGACCGGACCGTACTGCCGCCCGGACCGGCTACGTACACTGTCGGCTCGCCGGCTGTAAACAACAACACGCGTTAGTCAACACATAGTACAAGGTACACCAAGATTGTCCAATTTCTTTATAAGATTTTCAATTTGGTTGCAAAATTCAAGAAATTTCAGTAGCTTAATGTGCTACAAAACAAGATGAGGGTGACCAGTAAGTCACATTTCATCACACAGACCCTGTGGTTATTGGGTTTTTTACAAATACACAAAATAAGCAGCGGTTACAACCAAGTTGGTATTGGAATCACGGCATGTTTAAGTAAATAACGACAGACTTCTCTTAGCTACCAGTATCACATACTTTCTGTTAATATTGTGTACAAGGTGCTAGCAGCTTTCACTCTACAAGCTAACTTGTATAAAGCGACGTACAGTGACATTTTACACAACCCCAGAATATTGACCGTATGCGACGTCGGACGCGCGACGGCATTTGATGCTACACTGATGCCATTTGACTGTACTTGAACAAATAATAAACACACAGCTAGACAATACTGCACTCAAACAATAGCGTGGCCTGCATTCAATCTATTTGCCAAATATAAACAAAATGTCTTTACAATTTGATATTAAGCAACACTTGTGTAACAAAGTACGTATATACATTTTCGTGATGAGATGTAGCTCATTGTTCTATAGACTTCATTTAAAATATCATTACGGACTGTTTTTTGCGTGATATGTTAAACATTTTATACTTTAATTTGTATGGTTACTTGTACATACATAGTTCACTTTTTTATAATGAAGGTAAATGACGGAGTTCTAAAAGGTTACATTACATGTGATTATTTACGTCATTTAGAACAAAGTTTATTACTTAGGAAATTTTGCCCAAACCCTTTTTCAAAGACTTTGTAGCGATTTCCTAAGTCATATGTCTGTTCGATACGAGTTATAAAGTAAACATCGCTGGTTTGCATGAATCGTTACTTAATCTTATTGTAATATGTTTTAGAACTCAAATACTGATTAATAATCAACCATTTTAAAACAAAACTTACTATGGAATCCAGTAAGCTGTATCTCAGCAGGCTCGGCTCGCGGCGTGGAGACGAGTCCAGGGCCGGCGGCGCGCGCGTCGGCCGCGGCGGGCGGCGCCGACACCGCGCACGAGAACGGCGAGCCCGGCACTGCCTGCCCGTTGAACCGGACCGACAGCGTGTGCGGGGCTGCTTCCACTGGCTTGAAGTTCACCTACACCACATACGAACAGAGATTATGATAACTAGCTCAAAAACAAATACACTATTGCCTCTGTGACCATTTTACTGAAAGAAGACTTCTAGTAAATGGGACACCTGTGTTGTTTGAATTTAGTGTATTTTTTAAGTTGATGTAAGAAAAGTAATTACTTTAAAGCGTGTGTTTCATTTCCACTCGTTCATGTAAGTAAAACGTATAATATATAATTTGTTTCTCTTCTATTTTGGTTTTCTTCTTTTATTATGCATCTACTCCCAGATTATTTAAAAAAAAATCCATCCAAAGGTTGTCTGGGAACTAAGAAATCACCGCGTGTGATAAGACCGCCCATTGTACTCAAATTACTATAACAATGTATACATTTTTTTATGTGTTTGCAACAAAGTATAGATAAATAAAATATAATAGATAAATTCATTGAAACAATATTGAGTCAGAAATATACTTGAATTTAACAAATCATGTACCTACAAGTGAAATATCTGCAACTAACAGTAGACCTTTATATTCACTTACCTTGAACCGAGCGTTTCCTTCACTTTGTACATAATTTGGCACATTACGCCCGTTCACGGCGACTATGATTTCTAGATTGCCAGCACCTGAAAACAACGATAGAAATTAAGCTAACTAATGGTTTTAATTAATAACAGTTTTCACATCAACTGCCTCGTTGGCAGAGTAGTCGCAAGTGCGACTGCTGGACAAGGGGTCTCGGGTTCGATTCTTGGGTCGGGCAAAGTATAACAATTTTTTTTCATTTCAGTAGTAGCGCATAGTTTGGAACTGTGCCCGGTATATGGTAATAAGGCTCACCCCCTTACATTGGACTCATAACATAAATAGTGAAAAGCGGGTGTTACATTACCTACCCCTTTGGGGATAAAAGTCGTGATGTTATATTACGGTGTTTTCACATTAACAGCCCGTGAGCCCATTGCTGGACTATGAATCTCATCTACATAAGAGGGCTTTGGCATAAACAAAGATTGGCTTGAAGATTGCAGTCTAAAAAGGATCATCTCTATCAGAGAGATCTGTTTATCTTAAATCTGGCTTACTCTTAAATTCAATTCCAATTGATCGATATTGTTATTGTGAAATTTCATTCTCTTTTCATCTAACACTAGCACCCATTGCATCTGTATTACGCGGATACTTAATAAATTGAATGGTATTGAGTTTGGCTTAATTTCCGTACTCTGAATGCTATTTTAACAGCTACGATAAAGGTTGTATAGTTTTTACATTGAATAATTATTGATATTTTAGTGAATTGAAGTTTTAAGAGCAGTAAACTTGGTGACAAATATATTCTATTCCGAATAGAGCTAATGGTAATCGGTAAGTACATACCAGCGTGTGAGGCGTTGATAGTGAACGAGACAGGTCTGCCGACGACGCCGGGCGATATGTCGGTGACGTTGACTCGCGCCGCGCTGTACGCCTTCACCAGGAACGGACTGCCTTCTACGTGACCACCCATTGCACCGGCCCGCACCTAACCACATAATATACAAAGAATTACATAATGATGGACTTTCAATTGAACTAAGGATAAACCAGGAAAGTCTTGGGCGTTCTGAACAACATATATTGAGCAGCTTTTCGTAGTAAAAACTAAATTACGAATGTATTTAAGAGTAGGTAGGTAAATGTCAAGTTCAATATTGTTTTAGAAGATGTTCAACAACAAACTTCATGCAGTTTGTATTATACTGAGGCCTTAGTACGAGTTTATTTTACGTTTAAAATAATCGGAACGAGTACGAGTTCGGCACTGTGATTGGTTGCTTCATTGGCGCCGGCCAATCAGAGTGCCGAATGCTTACTCGTTTCGAATAAGTACTTTAAACGTAAATCAAACTCGTACTAAGGTCTCTAAACCATAGTTCAGTTAGGACTATAATACAAAGTAAGTAACATTTACCTCAATACTGTGATCGCCGACGTCGACAGGTACGAAAGATATTGTGTATCGTTTACTGGCTTCATTCTCACCTATTGTCTCTTCAGCTGACACCTGGAGAATGAAAAGTACATTGAAAATAATGATATTAAGACTAGATCCGAATATAAATTCATTTTACATAATTATATACCTTTTTGGGTAATAACAGTTTTGCTGTTATGTAATAATTTAATCGTGTTCCTTAAATGTTTGTATAGTGTAAAACTTTGTACAATTTATCGTAAATGTGAGAGCCCTGCAATTAATTAAATTAAATTAGACTAGTAGAATGCATTTGTGTCAGCTTGAAATTGTCTCACTCAAAGATCTCATTGGCGGTGGCACGTGCATTGGATCGCTTGATTCCCTACAAAATGGTTGAGTTGGGCGGTGTTGGGGTACGTGTCATGTTCGATGAACGGGCGCCATCAATTGGGACTGGTCAGCTCCAGACTGTATGATTTTATGGTTCTCAAGGTTATTTTCTTTTTCAATCTCTTTGACTGCATTTAGGTGTTGCATTGTTCGCACACAATCGAACTAACAAAACTATGTAACTAGAGAATTGTATTGTAAACCCGATTGAAAAAGAGTAACCTATGGACTTTCTTGCTCGTTCTTCTCCATAGGAATCTACGCCTTGGAATGAGCAACTAGCTTCACTTCAAAAAATTTTTTGTTGTTGACGTTTAAAAGTGCCTTCCTGGTCTAATTGAAATAAATGATTTTGACTTTGACTTTGCTGTGGCGACTTTAAAAAGGAGGTTTTCAATTCGAATGATACCCTCCTTTTAATCATATCCCTAGTGGAATAAATACCGTAGTTACATTAAATACTATATAACATAGTGACAAAGTTCCAAACCTGTACAGGCACGGGTCTGCGCGCAGGTCCTAGGACCTCAACGTGTGGTGACGTGGGCGAGTCCACGCTGAAACTGTACGCCTCCCCCACCGACACCTTGTCCGGGGACTCGCCTGAACCGGCGCCTATCACACGCGCCGGGGCCGACACGTGGCACACGAATGGACTACCTGTGGCGAAATTAGGAAAATGATTAATTAAAACCAATTAATAGTCTTGACAGTCTGATTTATATTTGTACCTATATCATAATTTCACAAATAACGCGATGTTTACTAACACTACAATAACAATAATTCGGTGTTGCAATTAAAGGGACTGGTGGCCTGGTATATGTCAAAGGTACAATCTATGAGGCAAAACATTTATCTCTGGAGGTGGATAACGGTTACGTTTTAGTAATAAACCAAATAAATAGTAGAACAAATAGAGAAATTAATATAAAATATTAAGAGAGAAATGATTAACCAGATTTGACGGGAGTAGAGTCGTGAGCTAAACTTATTACAATATAATTAATGACTTACCAGGCACATGATCTCCATTGAACCTAAGTTCGACAGTATGAGGGCGCGGGTCTCGCGGCGTGAAGCTGATGGCGTATGTATGAGCTCCCTGCGCCGCCGCCGCAGTGGGGACGCGACCTCCGTTCACCGTCACTTCTAAGTTACCCGGCCCTGCTGCCATCGTCTCCACTAAAGACAATTTAGGATAAAATTATTATATTATATGCGAAATTTGACCTAACATCTGGTGGTCCAAACATGAATTTGTATGTAGGTGTATATTTTTAAAACTCACCCAAAAATGTGACCGGTTTTCCAACTGTGCCGTGTGTGACATCTTTAACTCTAATGGCGGTGACATCGTACACCTGAAACATTACGAAGAATACTTTTAATAACAGTAAAATGTAAGTATATTAGCCTACATAGGTACTTATTGTAAGAAGATTATGTCAACACTTAAAGATTACGAGATATTTGATTGTACCTTGAGATGGAAGGGGCTGGCAGGTATGGGCACGGAGTCGACGAGCACGTTGAGGCGGTGCTCGCCGACGGCGCGCGGCACGAAGTCGGCGCGGAAGAGTCCGGCGCCCGCCGCGGACACGGCGGCCGGGACCGACGCCCCGTTGGGCCCTGCAGCGACCCATGCGTCAGCTCTCCGCCCCGCCCTACGCTACCCCCGTACAACCACGACGATGTTAGCAGTTAGGGCGAAGCGGATGAGCTTATCAAAGTAATATGAATGTTACGTCCTCATGTTATTTCAGTACTCTCTGTAAACTCAAATCTGATTACTGCACGACTTCCTATGTCGACTTACACGACTACCGATTAGTACCCTACAACTGTATATAATTAAAATATAATGATGTTAGTCGTGTTAGTAGTACTACATAAAGCGACTTACAACGTGAACATGTTAGTGCGGCGAAGCATTATGATATCTTTAAGTACTTCATAATAAACTATGACCTCCCCTCTATAAACTTCTTTGTTCCCAATGACCTACGAATCCCTCATTCTATGACATAATGTTTTTCAGATGGTTATCCAAAAAGTAATATTTTGTATCTCTTTCATTTATACCACCCTGGAAAAAAGAATCAAATAAATTATGATACATTTCTCGGCACATGAAGCAAGAGGACAGGCAATGTTATTGAGGAGAAGCTACATGGTGAAAATAAATTAACTCGGCCATCAGAACTAGTCTAGAAACTATATCATGAGAGAATTTTTGGAAAAATAATCTACCATTCATAGTTGTTAGTCAATTAATTTAAAAATTATAGAATCCTAGATTTGTTAGTTAGTATATATAGTTTTTAAAATAGCCGTTAATGAAGCCGTTTTCTTGCTGTTACCAAACAGTAATTCTCAGTCAATTCTCTCAAAAGCTGCTCCAAATCTACATAGACCTTTTGAAGCAATCTTTGAACATATTTATGCCCACAGTCAAACACATTACCTCTTAATAAGCCTTATCTATGAAAGGTTTTGTAGTCTTACCCTCAACATTGACTTCGATCTGGTCAAGCGAGGCGGAAGGGTGCTGTAGAGTGAGTGATGCGCTCTGATGCAGAGGCACGGGTCCTGGGACTGTCACACGAGCCCCACCACCACCACCTTCTGATACTTGTATCACTAGTGGACATCCAGGGACACGCATCTAGGGAAAAAAAATTGTAAAAGTGTAGATACAGGTATTGATAGTATGTAATATAATGAAGTTCAAGCCAATTATCTGGGAATAGGCTACAAGGCCTACAAGCTGCAATAGACAACATTAAAATCACATAACATCATCATACATAAAATCACGCCTTTTTATCCCCGAATGCCAGTGTAATACGCGGGGAGCCTATTGCCATATATTGGGTACAATTCCACAATCCATGTCACTACTGAGATTTTTTTTAAAAACCCAGTATTGCTTTGTCCGCCACTTGCGACCACTCGGCCAATAAGGCAGTCATTCAAATGAGGCGAGACATTCAAGTCAATTCAAATGTAATGTGGGATAGAATTCCGTGTGACACAAAATATGTTGAAGATTTGGTACCTACATCTTACAGAAAATAAATGTAAAAGAATAACTCACTTTATTAAAAGATACATTGACAACATGGTCACAGGCCTCTGTAGGTGTGAAAGATACTGTGAAGCGGGCATTTCCCTGGAAATAAAACAGTTTATTAATACACTTGTAATACAGGTCTCTTAAGATATATTAACTAATTTAGTAATGATTGTATAAAGCCTAATAAAAATATGCTTTGGTGTTATTGTGAGAAGAGCTGAAGAGTGACTTTAAATAGGGTAGATGACAAAATTTTTACTTTAATGACCGTCTGGTAGATTATTTAAAAACATTAGACACATTATATTTGTTTGTTTTCTTATGGAAACAAATCCTTTGGATGATGATATTGACTTAAATTACACATGATGTAATTTTTATACTAAAAATGAAGTGCCTATATTCCACTCCTAAACTCCTTATATGACAAAATAAAAAATGTGTCTAATATATTTTTTCATGACCTAACTGACGGACTAATTGGATTTTTATTTTCCATACATGTCATCATCCCTATCTATAATAAACACATTATTGATTAGTCCAATACATTTTGTGATATTAATACAACAACTTTAATTCAATAATGGTGTGGAGTGGACATAATGGCAACTTATAAATCAAGTAGATAATGCCAATTACATTTGAGTATTCCAATAAACCTGAGAATGTTTTAAACATTTACCTGAGGATGTACTTGTGTAGGAATGTTGAGTCCTCTGGCAGCAACGGTGATCTCAAGGTTGCCTTCGCCAGCCTGAGCAGCATCCACTGCTAACTGGACTGGTACTCCCACTCTTGCAGCATTTCCTCCACTCACACTCACTAGCTTACTGTCATATGCTTTGCATACAAATGGTGTGTCCTATAAACAAGATAGACAGGTGGTTGTTTAGAATAACAAATTTATTGTTTCTTTTTTCTCAATCATCGTGAAATGTTTAGGAAATAAGTACAAATCCATCTAATAGGTATTCTAATAAAGATTAATTGTTTAACTAAAGTTATTGTTAGCATAAAATCACTGCTGAAACTAATATCAAAATTCTTGAATTTATCGCGATTGTTTTGTTAGTACAAATAAAAATAACATATATTGTTTGTGTTGTATTACTTACCGGAACTATTTGATTATTGTATTGGGCAGTAAGTGTATGTGGTCCAACATTTTTGGGAGTGAAGCTTGCCACCAGACCGGTAACAGCGTCTCCCGTTAAACGCACTGGCACTTCGCCCCTCGGACCTCGAACAGTAACTGTTAACTCGCCACCCGCAGAACCTTCCACTCGAACTGAACATGATGCTAATTCGCCCACGGGGATCAGTTCTAGCAAACAATAAATGAAACGTACATTTAGAAATAAAATCTTTTGTGTTATTAGTAAACAAAAACATTTCCCGCCTTGATTGATAACAAATTGTGTCAAATGTCAATGTCAATGATATTGAAACGTCATATTGGCATTGGCAGAGTGCGTTAGTCATAATAAAAAAATATCATTCAAAAACTCAAAATACATAATTATAAAAATAATGCAATACTTTGATTATTTTACTTGTACAAATTGAATATTACACAGTTCTGAAACACTAATAATGTGAATTTTATGCATCAGTATGCTGGTTGGTTTTTCTAAAAAACTATTTTGCCAGCCATTAGGTATGATAAAAAATAAAAACATTCGTTTTTCTTTTCATTTTAGGGCATTTGCTAGAAGTTTTTGAGCAAATTCAACCAGTAATGAACATTTTTTTGAATTGTATTAAAAATTATGTTCATTATCTTAGAAAATTACTAATAAATAAAAGTGAAATTGTAGTAAAGTAAAGTCATGATTTTAATATTTAAGCAGCTATCCCAGTAATAATAATGCTGGTTGGTTTTATTGAAAAAATTTTAGTTGCCATTAAATATAAACGTTATTTATTTAATGGCTATCACTCAATTTTTTGGAGTATTTCAGCCAGTTTTAATAATTTAAACTTATTCTTATTAAAATAAATTAAATTATTGCAGATTTATTTGAATGGTAACACAAATAACATTGAATTATTTAAATTACAATGAAATTTAACACACAACTATTTTTGGTTTAAACGATGGAGTATTACGAAGTAGACTTTTTTCAGGATGTTGTCTTTGTCATTCTTAACTTACTTATCTACTACAAAATATAAAATACGATTGTAAAAGTTCTCGGTAAATATAAAATGTGTTATTGATAGCCACGTTGCTAATCGACTGCAGCGCCATTTCGAACTAACTTATCAACGAAACAGAGTGCGTATAAGTATAATAATATACGTTCAATATTTTTTTATTAAAAGTAATTGGGCATTGAAAGTTTAAATTACTCACCAACTTGTGACGTATCTATAGTGACTCTCTGTGCTGGAGCCACGTGGAATATAAATGGAGAAGATGGCACTGGTTCACCGTTGAATTTTATGTCAACTCTATGCGGGGTCGCCGTCTCCGGCCGCCAGAATACAAGACATCGTCCTCCCCCAACCACCTGAAATAGAGCAAAGGATCGTCATAAAGAATTTAAAATACTTAAGTATGCACCTAAGTGAATGAAAACATACGCTATTTAACGCCTTATTACCTAGTACCTACGAATACGAACTAGATATAGTGATTATTAGGGGGGTCGGACGGAATCGATTCAGGATTGAATTATGATATGATTTATGTTAGTTAAGTACGTACCTAACGTATTTAAGAAAAACTTTGTGTTGGTATAATATAATTATATTGTATGTGTTGTATTGTTGGTATAATATGTTACTTTGAATCCCGCTGACGCGATAAAGTCACGGGCACAAGTTAATGAAGGTACCTGGACACTGGTTTCAGAATTCGGTACAAAAACATTTTGATGAACTTTGTTGTAGGTAAACGCATACACATCTATTAAGATAAAAAGTGATAGCATGATAAGTAATTGTGTGATTCTCTTAGTTAAATAAATCTAAGTATATAAATTAAAGGAAGTTATCATAAAGTTGATGGTTTTCATGCCATCATACGAAAACGTTGTGCCTCAATTATGCATAGGGTGCGTGTCAGCCCCAATACCATCCTGAAGACTATAGCAGACAAATGGGACAGCCCTATACTGGGGCATTGGATACGCCTGCATGCTATTGTGGCGTAAGTCATGTTCTAATTGTAACTGGTAATTTTAAGTACTAACACTAGTTTTATAAGTTGCTTGTTTACTAACCAAATGGATTTAAGTTGTCCGAAATAAAATTAAATTTATTTATTTATTATAAACCGATTCTTTGTCAACATAGACGAATTTGGTGAGATTTGTAGGTATAAGAATATTAAAAAAAGAAACTTATAAATATTGCTAAGGAAATATTAAGAACGATCATGGTATTTTACTCAATATTCCATCAAGAACTCGTTACCATTAATTAAAATAATTTTGCCGCGCTTTAGGAAGGTGACGTTCGACATTCCGAATTCCCGCGGTCCCGCCAATTCTACATAACTATCATAGAGATTATGAAATATTTTTTTAATCCAATTTAAAGTTGGATAGGCGGCACTGGAAGTCCTCGTTTAAAGTTACAGATTACGAATGAATATAATGACTCGAGAGAAAGCTCACCTGCACGTGATTAGGAACTTCGCCTTCATTTATTGAGATTTCCAACTGTCCTTCTCCAGCTGCACTAGCATCCACTGAAAAAAGTAATTTTAATTACCTATATTTCACGTGTAACTTAAGTACGTACAAAAGGTTTTTAGTTTTTCATTTCCTTTCACTTCAGTCGTATATTAGCCTATTTCCCTATGATTCCATTTAAAATGTAGGTACACACGTAGATGTCTACGTTTGTATCTAATAACATTTCATGTAATTAAGTTTTCGTACCTATTTCATTAAAATAAAGAAGCGATAAAAGCAATTTTACATAATAGTTTTCGGTTTGTTATTGATAGAACGTTCTAGATTAAGTCAGTTACCAATTTCCGGTAAAACTGCTTTTTGGGCAATTAAGACAATTTATTGGAGCCAATTAAAGTAGAATCTAGATGGGTAACCGATTGTGGGAATGAGAGATATTATGCGACTACGGGAGGCAAGAGACGAAACGATCCCTTGGTTTTGAAATGTTCAATGGGGAAAATGTCCCCTTTTCCAGGCGCTATAATTTATGTTCCGAGGGGGATAATACTATAATCACCGCCCTCGGTGGGTTTCGGAGCATTCTATCAATGTAAGTAGCTAACTGCCTGCCGACTGAAAGATTTTGCTTTTTAAACTTTATGGTAGCGCGAATCTACAAACAACAAAAGTTTGGAGAATGACAGATGTTGGTGAATCTCTCAAATAATATACCCAATCATTCTACTGTATGTATGTATACTATGAAAGGTATTATTCTGTCAGGAAATTAGGAATTTAATAGAGTTCTTAGTAATTTCGAGGGAAACGAGCACGAGTTAGGTACTGAGTGCCATTTCTAGATTACCTACCTATGTAAATATTTGGTTTCAAGTAGCACAGGATAATCCTAGGTAATGCATAATATTTGAGCCCAGAAAATGATACAATACAATTTGGCTTAAAGTAGATTTTACATCTGTATCTATAAACATAACGATTTTTAACACATCACATAACATAACATCACGCCTTTTATCCCCGAAGGGGTAGGCAGAGGTGTACATTATGCCATTGTACAATGTAACACCCACTTTTCACTATTTATCTTATGAGTCTCATGTAATAGGGGGTGAGCCAATAGGCTCAGCTCAGCCCAGTATATGGCATAAATAGCCATATACCGGGCACAATTTCAGACTCCGTGCTATACTGCTGTGAATTTTTTTTTTAAAACCCAGTAATACTTTGTCCTGCCCGGGAATCGAACCCGAGATCCCTTGCCCGGCAGTCGCACTTGCGACCACTCGGCCAACGAGGCAATCTGTATCTAGTACGTCAAAGAAAACAAGAAATGATGAATCATTTACCTCTGAATTGGCAATCTTGTCCGACAACCGCGTTGCCCACGTCTGTCACCTTGATGAGGCTGGCATCGTACACTTTGGCCACTAGTGGGGCTGCAGCTAATTTGTCGTCAGCGATAGATACCTAGAACAAATAAGTTATGAAATTAATTACATAGAACATAAAAGTCGTACATTTCAATGTAAGTTTTGATTTCTAAAACTCCCGTAATGAGGAGAGAGGTCTTGTTTGCACTGTTTTACGAAAAAATTGTTGAACCGCAGTTATAATATGGTTAAAATACCATACCATACACACCTAGGTTTTTTTTAAGGGGGGAAAATCATAGAATGTCTGCTCCCGCCTGGGTGAGGCGGGAGGGAGTGTCAGACTCTTACTGAGTAAAAACCACCCCGTTCCTTCTCCTGCACGTCGAGCCGGAGCCCCGGTTACCCGTTAGGTTCTCCGCGACACCTACCTAGGTATAGGGTATACTTATTCAATAATTTATTCCGCGTTATACGTGGTCGTAACCATGTCACCAGAAAGCAGGTTCTATTATAATTAGATAGGCAAATGAAGTTCGTAGATTTATAGTCGGCAAACAGTTTTGGAGAATTTACATCACTTTCTTATTTATAACTTCATGCTTAGGTAACCAAGTGTGAAAATATTATAAACAGCTATTTATAGATACATTTGAAGCTGGTATAACCAGACGAGTTCTCTCAATATTGAAATACCCAATTATCATAGTAGAGGCATTACGTGATTTGTATCAAGAAACTCATGTAACAAATTATTTTATTTATTTTTGTCATTATGATCATGTTAGTTGTATTTTAGTTTTTGTTGATAAGAACTCTCTTATCAACTAGACTGAAGACTTCTTCAGCACCATTTCTTATAGATGAAGATGACTTTTCAGGTTACTTACATCGATAAGGTGAGTTCCGACTTCCTCAGGAGTAAACTCGATGCGGAAAACCCCTGGTCTCTCTGCTATGTCCAACACACGAGCGGTCACTGGCCTTCGGGATGGTGCAGTTACTGTAACGCCAACCTTACAACAAAAACACCGCATGTTACAAATAAACACATCTCTCGAGAAATTTAATTAATTTCCTCTGTAATTTAAAATACACTTTGAAAGCAGAGGTAAAAATTTGAATGATTTAATTACAGTTTCATAGCAAGCCAACTGCGAAACATACAGTGTTGCAGTGCAATCCTTGAATGAAGAGTTAAATTGATACAAATTGGTACGAGTGAGTGCCCCGGGCATCGAGCTTCGTGAAAATACATGCATTCGATAAAGTATCGGACCTCTTTTATTAAATTGTTGGTATGCGATATTTAAGAACGTTTAATTGACTCGATCATTTTTTTTTTATAACGTTTCCCCACACTTGATTTTCTCCTGTGTCGTGGGTACGTTTACAAACACACAAGCACACATACACATAACACCCAGATCCGGAACAACAATTTGTGGATCACACAAAGAGTTGTTCCGTGCGGGAATCGAACCAGCGACACGTTGCGCGGCAGCCAGTTGCCCAGCCACCGCGCCAACCGTGAGGAAATGAATTATTTACACATCAAGAAACTTACCTCATTCTTGCTGAAGGTAGAATCACCTGATGAGGTGGAGATTTCAAATACGGCTGGTACTCTAGCAGGGATCAGCCGAGTGGGCTCCCCTCCGCCGCCGCCCAACGGCCCTGCCATCACCTCGACCTTCCACGGAGAACCTGAAGATAAATGACATTTTGATAACATTTTAAAATGAATGAACGTTATGTATATTCGACGTTAAGCACGACGTTAAGGATCGGTAAATTTAGCCACATTCATTGCAGCGAATGTAGGTCTTGTTTAGACAAAAATAAGCCTTATTTAGTAAAAATTATATGTTCTTATAGATTCCTAATAAATGTCAATGTGTATTATAAAGAATCGACAAAGCCACCCTTTATGCGGGGTGCGAGCGATCTGAGGCGCGGGTATAATGACACGAGACATGATAAATGTAGTGGCTGATGGCTCCAGCGGCCAGCGTAGTAATAGACACCATTACCGGTAACTGTCTCATATAAAACACCCTTTTTTCTATTCCTCTGAATATTTTATTGACTTTTTTTTGCCTATCAGTCTATAGATTTTACTTCACCTTAAACTTTTCTTTTAAAATTCGGTCACTTAAAGAAAAACTGTCACAAACTTTACCCGACTTATTGGAGTAAGCCATCATCTTACACAAAGTTGAAAATTAAATCAGAGCAGTTTTATTAAATTGTCCAATCGTTTTATGACATCTTCGTTTGTACAATTAAAGCGTTGACTTTATAATTGTGCAAATGTGTGTTAAACTAGGTACTGTTGAGTGGAATCAGTGTGCCCATGTGAATGTGCGATACCTTGTCAAAGAAGACTTGATTCATAAATCTTGGAACGGTTTACATCGATTCATTTTACTTTAGAGCCAAGCTGTTATTTCTAACACGTGGGCAGTAAACACAAATACATATTTACATGTGTTATATACCTAGGCTCTAATTACCATAACACCTGCAGGTGTTTTTGCAAACACACGTAGGGATCAAAGTATCTAATTAGCCAATAAACATTTTACAATAACAGTTGAATCGATGCAAATTGATGAAATTGGTACTAAAACTTTACGAGTTATTTTGAAATCAAATCTTTATTAGTACTATTTAAAAACTTTTATCTTCACGTCGTTATTCTAATAACCCTCGATTCGAATATTTTAGCAACTGTTCTAAAAAGCAGCATTCGGAATTCGGTGCTACAATGAAAGTTTAGCTAAAACAATAGGCGTGTGTAATGAAATGTGTTGCGAAATTACAAAGGTCGACATGGCGGAACCGATTGCCACGAGGTCGTTTGGTTAGAAAATAGTCACTTTTAACTTTTCAATCACCTGTGGCTACATTCCATGCAGTTTCTGCACACATTCCTTGCCGTTGAAAGAATTAACATTTTGGTGTACCTTAACGCCTTTGTGGTTTGTTGGTAAGTAGATATACTTATTGTTGTTACAAACGAAATAACTAGTAGGAATACCCAGAAATTTTTCTATTTAGATTAGCCTTCATTATCAAAATCCCTTATTATTAATGAAAACAACTAGACATAAGTATGAATTACGATACCTATAAATAGGATTTTTTACACTTTAAATATTCAGATTGAACTATTAATACCGGATTGCCCTTTGCGTCAAATACCATAGCCGTATTGGATTATGTTTTACCTAGCCGATATTGTAAGATCGGCTGTCACATACATAGGTACATACATAACAGGGTGTAAACGGAATGCTAACGAAAAACGCCAACAAACCAAGTGATGGTAAAAAACAAGTTTTATTTTATGTACATAATAATAGTTGTAATCAAAATCAAGGATGACGTTGTATGAATAACACGAAAAGGAAAACAATTAAAATTGTGTACCGTTGACACCCTGTCTGTATAGTATATCCTAGGCGCAGAATTGACAAATTGGGTCGACAATCCTGGTTGTCCATGAATGTCGTTACCGGCAGCTAGACAATCGCTTGACCTTATTCATTGATGGACTTGATGGTCTTCATGAAAAACGTGCTATAGTGCACAATTTTCGTTTGGTTTTTAAGACTAGAGTGAAATGATATATTTGTCAACATCATACATTTTTGTTTACGTAGGCAAATATTAACAGTTTTTATTCAAAACTAAAACAGCGCATTAATAACACTTATTTGATCTTGAATGTATTCCGAATGTAAATTTTAAATTGGTGTTTCTAGTATTCCCTAATACGGTAATTAGCACGTTTGTATTCTAGAAATATCGCAATATTAGCACTATTGGACAATTTTGTTTTAGTTGTTACAGTTATTGGGAAAAACAGTCTGCGGTATGGTCCATTACGTAGTTGTAACTGTAAGTACCTACGTGTAAGATCTAAACATTATATTTTTAAAGTTGAACGAATGACATGACATGACCCAGACTTTGCCAACGTACCTACGTAAAGCTGGGTGGTTAAACACACACGCATTTCATAAGGTTTCATAGGAATAGGAGTGAAAGATTTGCGATGTTGGGACAGTTGCAAAGCTGTGGTGTTGCTACCTACAGTTTCATTTAATGCACAACCAGGTAACTTGTAGCACTGACTCTCTGACATAACCCTTCCTTAGTCATGACTCATGACCTCAGCCTCGAGACATGTGGGAAGACGCTTCAATACAGACGACTTCGCCGCGCCATTGTTTAGTTTTAGATTAGTTATCGAACTTATCGCGGTACTAGCTTTAACCATTATTCAGGGAGGCCATTATCTTGTACCTACGTAAAGTAATTTATAATAATTTGGGTGGTTTACTGAACCTAGAATATTCTTTGAGGAAAAGTTTGTTTTTTTGCTACAGGAAAATCAATGTGTTTAGTTTATGTAGTCTTTTTTATTTTTTGAGGGGGAAAATCATCCAATGACTTCTCCCCCTTGGGTTAGCCGAGAGGAATTGTCAGACTCTTCTGACTAAAAACCACCCCGTTCCTACTCCTGCTCTTTGAGCCTGAGCCCCGGCAACCCGTTAGGCCTTCCGTGGCTACGGCGGCTATGGCGTGGAATTTATGTAGTCTACGTTCTAAATCTGGACTGGATAAGCTAAGTTTACACAAAGTTTTAGGATTGTGTACTAAGTACTAAGAAGGAATCTCGGATGCGATGTGATTTACTTATTGGAAAAGCGCAATGGAACAAACTGAAACCAAGGCTAGTACAAATATTTAAACAGTGTAGCTATAAATATAAACCCTTCAGTTGTTTCATTGTATACACAGTTACGACTGTTTGAATGACTAATAAGTAGATACCTATCTTCGTTAAGAACACGACGCCCATCGCCGCACCTGTTAAGCTCTGGGCCGGGCCGTTACTAGCCCATACTAGTTCATTACATAGTATTGAAGATCGGTCATGCGAATATAGCTAACGGTATACATAAACGGTCAATATGAATAATAATCGTTTGTCCTAATTAAAAACCTTCGTATGGGAATAGTGTGCGTTATGTTTTGATAGCAGACATTAAATTAATGGCTGTATAAATAAATAATATCTCCATTCAATATTTATTACTCCGTATGTACGACCTTTTCATATTGAATTAATTGATGTTCAGATTTAGTGTATAATTTTGTACTTTTTCATAAAACGTTATTTTTACTGTTTCTGTTTTTGTTTATTTATTTTTTCTTATAATTACAGTTGCCCCTCGTTATGCCTTCGTAGTCAATTATCGCTTACAAGACGCAAAAAGAAACATTTGTCGAAGGCTCTTCATGTTCAAGACGTTGTTCCAAAAACCGAGAAGATACAAAAGAATTTCGAGTCTAAGTGAGTGATTAAATTTGAGGAGTACTTTATTTCAAGATGGTCATGAACATCGTTACAAACACGACCGGTCTGCGAGCTGCTGTTCATTTGTGCCGAGATTCACCAGAGATAAAAGACGGCCATTATAAAACACATTTCTATGATTTACAACTTGTCTCTGGTCTATAGAGGTGTATTTGTTATGTTATTACGTGCTGTGACCAGTCGAGCGGACTCTAACGGGAAACTGCCGTAAATAATTACCGCAAATTACTATGAACTCAAGACTGTTTAATTGATAACAATAATAAGATATTATCATACTCAAGTAGAAGTTAAATCGACACAATTTGAAATGGTGATTAAAAACAATATCTTGTCCAATAATTTTATTAGGAACATACTTTACCTTATCAATGCATTGATGTAACATCTACTTCGTACCCAAGAATTCATTCTAACTCAAAGCTATCATTAAATAAATTGGCGTCACTACAACTCCACAACTATTGAGGTTAATAAAATTGTGTAATACTAAGAATAGTTTGTAATGACAACTTTCATTTTATGCTAACTAATAACTTCTATTTTGTCATTTATGTAATAAAGACTCGTTGACCGCGAAATTTGCACCAAAATGAGAAAAGTAGAATTCGACAGTCATTTTTGTATAAGTACCTATGTAAGTAAAATGAAAAAGAGATAATTTAATACAATAATTTCGTCCCCGCGGGAACGTCAGTACAATAGGAAAATGATTGTGTATGGTACTTTTTAGTCTTAAAAGCAACTTTCCTATAAACCGGTATGAAAGTCCAAATTGCCTCTATTTTTGAAGCAGGTATGTCAGGATTTCCCAAGAATAAAACAGTCTGGTATTATTAAATAGCATGTTTAGTTGGAATGTAAACCACTAACATAATTCCGCTATGATTCAACAAACTAGTTATTTATCAAGTTTTAAACGGATGGCGGATCGTCATTATCAATCCATAATTTATTATGTAAATTGAAAAATTTGCATCACAAATTATTCAACCTTTTCTATAGCACGTATAAAATTATTATCTGGTGTTAAAATGGATTGTTTTTAATCAAAGTGTAAATATGATGGAAACACTCGTCAGTACATAAAATAAATGCATTGTTTAGCGCATTCTTTAGCATAATATTATTATTAAAGTTATGTTAGTATTATGTTGCTTGCCTTGAATTTATATTACTAGCTGCGTTCCTGACTTCGGTTACACAGCTACTAAAATATGACATGAGATTACAATCGATTAAATAGTTCGTATTTTGTCAGATGGGTACATACATATACGTTTTTGTTATGCAACTTATTATGCTATTATATTTT